TCTCTCCGTCTCCCTGCAGGGATTACCGTGAGCATTAGCACCCCTTTCCCCTTTGCCTCTGTGTTGCTTTTTCCTTGCATTTTCCTTAAACCATTTGCAGAGCTCACAAGTCTGGGGAGCTGTGTGTTTTTCCCCCCAAACTCTAGGCATGAGGGAGAAAGGGGAGGTCCACCCTGCTGGCATGCTGCAAGGCAGAGCTTTGTGATGCTTGTACGGGGACAGCACAACTCTCCCCTGTGGCTCTGGGCGCCATCCATCACATGCTACCACCACACTGCAGCACATCATGCTATCTGCTGCTGCTGCTATACACACACACACACACACACACACACACACACACATCTCTGCTTGCCATGGAAACCTCACCATAGCAACCATACTGGAATCCAGGTTTAAAGGGACAGGGTCATGGGGTGCAGCACAGGTGAGAGTGTGACCCTGTTCAAGTAGCCCTGAAAACACTGGGCCTCCTCCTGCTGTTGGGACCGGACCTACACCAGTGTAGCTCCGTTCTGTTAAGTACAACTAATCCTGGTCTACACTGGGGTAGAGGGGAAGAGGATCAGGATCATGGTCCATATGCTGCAGTCATCCTGCAATGTGGGTCCATCCCCTGTAGCGGGAGGCTGGGGCATACACTTGGTCCTGTTGCTGCTGTAGTGGCTTCTGCTGAGTTGCAGGCCATAGCTGAGCTGTAGCCCTCTTGTAAAGCAGGTACCTGGGGAGCTGAGCTAGGGCTTTGCCTCTGAGGGCACAGGCCTCTCTTCCCTGAGGCCAGTGGGGGCACTTGCAGTTGGCTGCAGCTGGTCCTCAATCCCAGAGAGGCCTGTCCCTCACACAGGCCCACAAAGCCAGCCCATGACACTCCACGCTTCACCCCAGCTCCACTCTCTGCTCCTCTTTCTCCCTCCTGGGATTGCTCCTGCACCAGCAGCTTCAAGGACTGGATTCTGTTTCCTTCTAGTGTTTCCCCTTCATCTTGCCTTGTGTTTCAAGCACCCTTACCTCTTGCCCTGTAGGCATTCCTTCCAACATTTAGGGATATCCAGACCTAGATCCAGACTCACCCCCTGCCTGCGTCCAGTCCAAATCCTGGCTTCCAAACACCTATAAACTCTGGGTATTTGCAGCTTGAGCCTGGAGTGACATTTCTGCGGCACTTTTCTTGCTGATTAAATAGTTTTTAGTGCATTTCCCCTCACAGTACTCCTATGCAGCACAGCACTACTATTCCCCCCACCCATTTCACTGGCTCACAGGGGCTAGAAGACTCACCCAAGGTCTGTGGTAGAGAAGTGGTTGACCCCACTTCTCCCATATTGCAGCTCAGTGCCTTAAATCATTGGACTGACACAGAGGAAACTCTCCCAATTGCTTTAGTAAGCAGCCGCTTTTGTGGATCCTCCACATCTGATCTGTCAGGGGAGTTGCCATCCAAGATATTTTGGTTATTACCTCACTGAGGAATGGCAAAGGTAAAACAACTAATGCTGGTTTTGGGTAGCCTGCTAAAAATCTCAGTACTGCTTAGGCAGGGCTGGCCAGGGAAACTTCCCCAAGTTACAGTTTGTGCCGTAAACACTCCCCATCAATACTGGTATTATTCCCACTCAACCACTAACTTTTGCATGGAAAAAAGGGGTAGCTAAGCAGTCTCGTCTCCTTCTGGGGAGGGAATCTTGTTCTCCTGGGTTTTCCTGCATGTGATTTCTAGCCCTAAGCTTGCCTCCATTTCTATTCATAACCCTGGTAGGAATTCTAGTTTCACTTTTTTTTTTCACTGGTTCCAGTTTGCAGCTAGGTTTTGTAATGAAGGAGCAGGCCTACTGGTGCTATTGGCATCCTTGAAAAGTCAGAGACCAATGGAAAGCTGCACATATCTATTAAAATAATCCAATGGGATTTAATAGGATTTCCACTGGGGAAGGTGAACAGACCTTAAAAGAAGTAACCAAAAATGTCTCAATTTTACACAGGTTTCCTTCATGCGCCTCACCAACAGGCAATAACAGGGACAAAGTTTAAACTGTTTCCCACTGTTTCCCACAGCTTTTTTCTTGCAGCCTACAGTGTTTTGCATGGCTGACTTCATGCTCCTGGCTTGGTTGGTGCAGGGAAGAGATCCTGTGTGATGATGCCTGTTTAGGCCCATTAATCCAGACCGAGCATTGCTCCTTATCAGCCAGACGTGCCCCTTTGCGGGGTGGGCTCACGCACGTCCTTCGGCGTGTCGCTGTCCCTTCAGCACCTTCACCGAGCAGCTGTGGCACCATAGCTCTTGCTCCGGGGAAAAGTGTGTTTCACTGCACAAAGCCCCATATTGGGGCACATGGGACTTAAGCCACTGTCTTCTCTTAAGTCCTCATGGCCATCTCCTTAGGCAGTAGAGCTATACCGATGCCTGCTGAGGACTGGAGCCCAGGTGTTCAGGGTACCGACGTTCCCGACAAGAAGTTTTGTCCGGCTCCATTTCCACCTTTCTCATCCCAATAGATGAGTAATAGGAACTCACTTTGCCATTAGGTAGAGTCTGCCATTGCAGCTCACAAAACCAGAGCAAGAGGCATCCCAGGCTTCAAGCAGGCCACATAATCTGAAAGGCGATTAAAAAAAAAAGGATGGAGATAGACTTTTCTTTGTGGCCATAGGGGACAGGACTAGGAGCAGCAGACTTACATTGCAGCAGAGGAAATGGAGGCCGGAGATTAGGGGGAACTTTCTGGTGATGGGGTGGTTAATCATTGGAACAGGCTGCCTAGGGAAGGTGTGGTATTTCTATCCCTGGAAATTTTCAAGAGCAGGTTAGACTGACCCTGGGCTGGCACGGTTTACTGAAGGATGATCCTACCCTGAGAAGGGAGCTGAAGTAGATAACCTCATGTGGTCCCTTCCATCCCTACTTCCCTATGATCCTGTAGCTCAGTGACACCCAAATGCTGTCCTACTGAGACGATGTCTTGCGCTACTGCAATGTCTTGTTTCTTGCTTTGGGGGTGTTGGTGATCCAAGGACACAGGCAGACAAAGTTCTTTGGGTGAATATGATATCTTTTATTAGACCAACTAAAGAGTTGGAAAACATTTTCTTTGCAAGCTTTCAGGTACAAGCACCCTTCTTCAGGAAGAGGGAGAGTCTACAATTGTATTGTCTACAGTTGTACTGTATTACTCAATACAGCTATAGACTCTCCCTCTGCCTGAAGAAGGGTGTTTGTACCCAAAAGCTTGCAAAGAACAATTTTTCCAACTCTTTAGTTGGTCTAATAAAAGATCACATTTTCTCAGAGAACCTTGTTTGCCTTGATTCTTGCTTTATATTTAGATCATAAGCTGTTTGGGGCAGCCTTTTGTTGTGCATCTATACAGCACTTAGTGTGCTGGGGTCCTGGAACATGACTTGGACTCATAAACACTGTACCGGGACAAAAAATAAGTGCCTTACCCCCACTCCATCTACACTAAACAGTTCTTTCCAGGCCAACACATGAACCTGGCCCTATTCTTATTAAAGTCAAGGAGAAGTTTGCTACTCTTTTCAGAGGGGGACTGAACCAGGTTTCATGTCTCTTTTCTAGACTACCCCACACATTGCTATGCCACATGGTGTCTTTAGTAGAGCTGAACCAAACCAAAAACCTACTATCCAAGCGCCAGAAAGCTTGTGACTCACAGCTGAGCTTTGCCTCTGCCCCCAGGACCAACTAAAATTTCCAGAAGACCCCAAAACATTTGGCATCTGGTCTGTATTGCAGCTGACAAGACCAGCATATAATTTAGTGCATCATCCTAGACCACTGGTCTCCCTGCTGCATGCTGACATACCCATGTCCTTGGAGCCCAAGTTTCCTCTTACTTCATATGGTAGAAGTCAGGAGCTGCTTTACTCAAGTCACGGGATTACTGGCCTTGAATGGCAGGTGAAAACAGAATCACACCCCTGGAACTAGAATTGGCTCCGAAACAAGGTTGACTCTGGTAACGCAGAGAAAGACCCTTTTTCCTCCCGGTTGTGTTTCTCTCCATTTCCCTTACTGTCTCTCTCTTTCTGCCAGCCAGGAAGGTGGAAGGATGTTTACGGTGTGCCAGCCCGACGTCCCCCTGAACAGATCTTTCCACGAGGGCAAACAGGACCCCACACTGGGCACGGCCTTCCTCGGTGAAGGGGAGCTCAGGCAGGACAGTAACTTCAACTTTGTGGGGGAAGTATATGACAGCAATGAGAACTGGAGCCAGACAGTGGCTGGGACCCGGATGGAGGAGGACCCCAGCCAGATAGAAAACATGAGAAATCCCTCAGATAATCTGGTGTTATTAGTGCAGAGACAGACGGCGAAGGACAGGCTTAGGGATGCTCCCCAAGGCTTGAAATCAGACAAACTGTGCCTCTCCAAGGAGGACGTGCGCAGCCCCCCGGAGGGGGCAGAGGTCAGCAGTGCCGAGCTGGAGAAAGCTGCTACTGAGGACGTGGCCAGAGAATGCGACAAGTCCGTCGTCTCCCCCTTGGAGG